CGAACAATTTCATACCAATATTTCACGTCATAACGACAAAGTTTAATCTTGCAGTATATGAATAAGTCGGGATCGGTGATTTTGGGATACGCCGCAGAAGATGTGATAAGCAAACCGCTGGCTGTATTCCACCAGTTGTGTGACATCGACCAAATTACCAAAAAGCTAGAAAAAAACATTGAATGGGATGGTAAAGTATCATGGAAGTGCAAGAGCGGAGAACACGTATACCTCCATTGTCGAGCTTCCCCGTTTCGACCGTTTGGCAAGTAAGTTTGGAAATTAAATTGTTATAAAACACCCACAGCTAGTATATTTTTTAATTTAAAATCTCAAACAAATAGTCTGTTAATAAATAAATATTCTAATTTTCTGAATAAGAAAAAAAAATTAAAGAAAGTCAACTCAAAAAGAAAAACATTTCCCGTTGATTTTCTATTGTATTTTAATAAATATGTATATTATACGTTAACACATTTTAAGGATGATTAAAAACATACTTTTAAATTCATAAAACATTTTATAAGTCCTTGTAATATTAACTTTACTGTAAATTGTATATTGTCTCAAAATCAAGAATTGGTTAATCTTATAATAAATAYGATTTTCACATTACTTATTGATATGAATATCGTTATAAAACAGAATGAACTAGTACCCCTTTGGTTTATTTAAATRCCTAACTCACAAGTGCTGATTAAAGGTTATTGATTTTCAGAGAAACAACGAATTACATCTATATACAAGAAAGTATTGTAGATGCACATGGTTTTCCAAGAGGAAGTGTACCATCCATTCGTAAAGGATCATATGACCTCAAGTCTATTAACAGCGATGGTAAGTAATTAAATCCATATATTATAATTTATGAGGTATAAAAGTCACTTTTTCCACACGATAAATATACAAGCAAACGTTTTCAAATTTACTGTATATTTAAAATGTCCTAAAATCCTGACTGACTAATCAACGTACAGCTAAAACTATGATAGCAAGAAACTTATAATTTTCATGGTATAGGTATCTTTATACCACAATGTTGAGGTGCATTAATAAAATATTGAAAATTCCCATTTTATAGATAGGCTTACACAAGTATATTGTTTCGGCAAACGGAAATCCAATATTTTTTGTATACCAATGTGATTGGTATTAGTTTAAATAAATAAAATATTATGAAGAGAACATTTTACTTAATTTACAACTGCATTAAAATCTAATTTAACATTATTCTTAAMTTGAGCATGAAAGGTTTCGAGTACAAAACACCAACAAGAAATTCAATATTATTTTATACGGCCATTAAATTCCATGCTTAATTTAAAATCTAAAATACTATTTGATCATCATTATTATGCATGGAGTTGTCTAATTTAATATTTTAAAACGAAATCCTCTTTACATAAATTCACGAAAATCAGTTGACCAGTAACTGCTATATAAATTAATAACATAAACTTTAACTTGTATAGAAATAATTCCGTCTGTTATATGATAATTAATAACAATTTTACATAGATTGCGTAAATCTCTGAACAAGAACTTTCGTTACTCCTGCCATTGAAACATTGCTACAAATAATATATATTATTCAACAAAATTATTATGAACTAAAAATAATGTGAATAAAAAAGGAATTTGATGGATTAAAGTAATAATATTTATTGTTAATTTAAAGTACCTAGGTAAATAAATGATTAAATAATCATATTATGTTACACCTACAAGTGTATTATTTATAATTTTACTTAAAATTATCCGATAAATATGTTCAATACAGAGTACCTACACATAAATCACACATGATTTGAGGAATAACTTTTATCGTATTCGACTATCATTAGTTCAATTTACACATAAATATACCTACACATAAATCACACATGATTTGAGGAATAACTTTTATCATATTCGACTACCATTAGTTAAATTTACACATAAATGTCGTCTGAACCCTTTTTACTCAAAAGCACTTGATTATGATCAAACATTGTATCCGAGTTTAAAATTATACCTATATATTATTGTATAATAATACTTATTGTGACCTTTTAGAAAGGTTTATCAAAAAAACATAATTGAAGAATACTGAAAACATATCATATATTATATAAATGTTAAAATACGAACAAATAAAAATTAAATTTATTACCTAGCAATACAAAATAACAATATGAAGTAGGTATTTTATATTTAATTATATTATATAATCATATTTTCTMTAGATATCTCATCTACCTACGTATAGTCAATATAGAGTGAACAGGGTCTATTATTATTTATTATAAAAGTTGTATTATTTCTGATTACATATCATTTATATAAACCAAGCTTCATTATCTTTCCAGTCAATTAATTTTTTTGTAAATTCCATTTCGTACAAGAATGAACTATTATAATCATTTTTGAAATGTCCAAATCTAATTTATATAAGTTTTTCTTAGAATTTTATCAACACATCTTTTTAAAAATCATAATAACCGAACGAATAAAATATGTTAAAACTTTAAAGGAATTATTATATAACTAGAAATACCTACAGAAAATAAACCGACGAAAATTATGTAATTTTTATTAAATAATTACAACACCACCTAAAAATAATTTAACAATTTAAATATTTGTATTAAAATAAATAAATATACTAATAATTTTTTAAAGGTATTCATAATAAATCATACACATTCGTTACATTAAAATGTCTTGTTTTTTTCTGATTATTTTGTGAAAYAATTGAAATTTTAACTATTAATCTCTCATAGTATCAACTAGATCCAACTTGCAGTCAGAAAACCATTCTCTCAAAGTTGAAAGTCTAAGCGTTTTTTCTACTAAAAAGCGTCTTAAGAAACAAAAAAAATTAATACATTCATTTCTCCACTTAAAATCTAAAAGCGATTGTTTGATTTGTGAAATACATTTTTACCAGTTTTAAATTTAATTTATTAGATTTTTCTATAATAGGCGCACAATCAGCTCGAAGACAGAGTTTAGCGAAATTGCATAATTTGCCACTTGAAGCGCCAATCACGAAAGTAATATCATTGATATGTACCGCTCAAGAAAACTCAAACGACCAAGTCGTACAAATTTTGGATAAGGTATGGGTCACTGATTGATGTCGTATTATTATTGACGCACAAACATATTTTGAAAAAAACCTCAAATTATACAATATTATAGGTTGTTGATATATTGCGTGTCACTGAACTATACTCGTCACATTTAAAAACCGAAAATATCAAATACGATGATCCCGTTACGTCAGATCTAATTGGAGCTCTTATAACGGTACTGTTTTTTGACAACATGATATTAACATACATGTAAATATGAATACTAGATAATATGATTTGTTTTATTTTATTTTAGCAAGGGCCTGTCCACGTGACATCCACTCGAAGAAGCTCTAATGATTCAGCGACTGTTAAGAATCAACCTTACGGTTTGAGTATTGCTAAAATGAATTTTATGACAAGTGTAACTCCTCAAATCAAAGAACTCTTGGATATGTCTCTGTATTGGGATTTCAACGTATTCAAACTTGAAGAACTTACTATGAAAAGGTGACGGATACTTAAATGTTTTGAATTACCGTGATAATTAATTGATGGGTAACTATTTTGGCCAACATATTTTACATAAAATTCATTCGTTGATCATCTACTATTTATGAATCAAAAAACGTTTTACTTTTAAAAACTTGATTGCTGTAATATATAGCAATAAATCTCCCCTCTTAGTATTTACGACTTTGGGCACGTGAACATTTTTCAAAACTTTGATTGTAAAAATTTGGCACTTGACTCAAAAAAGGTTCGCCACCCTTGGTATATAGTTTATAGTATATAGTTATCATATTAATCCTATTATATTCATTTTTTCTGTATAGTGATACCTACTGTATCAATAATATTTTTTTGTAATTTATTTTCAATTTAAATAAAGAAAAAAAAAATTAGTTATTCTTAATTTTAGGCCTTTGGTACATCTGGGAATGAATCTACTGACACACTTTGAAGTACACAAAACATTAGGTTGTGATGAACGAACATTGCACGCCTGGTTAACTGTGATCGAAGGTCATTATCACGCTAAAAACACTTACCACAACTCTACACATGCTGCCGATGTTCTTCAAGCAACAGCCATGTTTTTAGAAAAAGATCGTATAAAGAGGCTTTTGGATCAATTGGACGAGGCATGCTGTTTGATCGCAGCAATCACACACGACATCGATCATCCAGGAAAATCAAGGTTAGACCATACCACAAACAAACTTAAACCATTTGGCAATGTGATGATAATATATTATTTTTTCATTAGCGCGTTCTTATGTAATTCCCAAAACGATTTGGCTATCCTATACAACGACATAAGCGTTTTGGAATCTCACCACGCCGCTTTAACGTTTAAACTCACTACCAAAGATGAACGGTTGAACATTTTTAAAGGTACGTACTTTGGCTGTTATCCAAATTTAGTTTACTCAGAAAAATAAAAATCCATTTAGGTCTGGAAAAAGACACGTACAAAGTGGTGAGACAGAACATTATTGACATGATATTGGCTACCGAAATGACGAAACACTTCGAACATTTAGCCAAATTCGTGAGCGTCTGTAACAAACCATCGACACTCGACGAAGCGCCCGTTGATGGATTAGTGAGTAGAACCAACCCTCCCAACATCATGTTTTATTATTTTATTATTATATACCTTTACGATAATGAAACGCTTATATCATAAAATTATTTTAGACCCCTAGCGAAGTAAGCCCTGAGGCTATAATGCCTACCAGTGCCGAGGAAATAAATCTGGTGAAGAGAATGTTAATCAAATGTGCAGACGTTTCTAATCCGACAAGACCACTCAAGATGTGCGTAGAATGGGCCAAACGGATTGCCGAGGAATATTTTAATCAAGTATGAAATCGCTTCTTATGTTAAAAAATGTCTTCTTATTTAAACAGAATATTTTTTAGAAAAACAAAATATTAATTTTAATATGTACCTAATGTCTTGGTACTTGCATGGTACCTATTATGCCTATTGATACGTACGATGTACCTACACAATAATCCCAATTTACAGGCTCTGATTTTATACCTTGCATCTACAAAAAACAGATCATAATAATATAGCATGTACTTAGTACGAAAATGCAAATGTGTAGCACAATTTTTAAGTGTGTAGCCATAAATTTCCTATAATGTGTTAATAAATTCACAATAAAAAGAACGCAGTACTATTCTTTTCAAATAAGGACTAAAAAATAATAATGTTATATACTCTTGTAAATTTAATATGTGTGCAGGTACCTCTGGTAACTGCAGAGATTAATTTATGGTTTTTTTTTTTTTAATTTTGAAACAATTTTTTCTCGATAGAACATTAAAAAAAAATTGTATCTATTAAAACTAATTTTAAGTTGTTTATTCATAACACCACAATACTATTCACACTGTTCTCAAGTAGGTACGTTGGAATTGGCTTATTAGTGAATACGAATAATATAATAATGTAATACATTATTATTAAACTAAAAGTATCTTCCTGATATAAACAAATATAGACACTATTTACCACCCCAACCTTTTTATATAAACTGCAATTAAAAGGATATAAAAATCTTATTGGTAAAAAAAAAGTTATCTTAAAAACGTATTTTTAATGCATAACTTTATAAAGGTAAAAAATCTTTCTAATGTGTGTTAATTTATATTTTCAGACTGACGAAGAGAAACTCAATCATTTGCCAGTGGTTATGCCTATGTTTGACCGATCGTCCTGTTCCATACCAAAATCGCAAATCGGCTTCATGGACTACATCATAAACGACATGTTTGAGACGTGGGACTGTAAGTTCATAGGCAGAATCACATTGTATAGGTAGCATTAACATCAATATTCGATAATTCCAGGAATTAGAAMATGTATTTAAAACATACATATAATTATTATATTATGTTATATTATATTGCATTAACAATTATAGTAAAATATTCTGAATAGTTATCAAATTCAAAGCACCCCTAGCCACTCCCTCCCTATTTTCACCTAYGAGAAGTTAATGTCAATTAGTAATATCATTCGATCGAATATTTCTATAGGTAGTTCAATAGTTGTTAGAATATTACTTATAATATGACATATTATTGTTATTCTTGAGCCCGTCAACTATGGCCATTAGCTATTGTAAAAATGTAAAGGTTATGGTAAGGGTTAGTACTTTAGGTTGGCTACATGCGTATATATGGCAAGGTTTTTATCACTAAGAACCCAGATAGGTGACCATCTGGGAACTAGTGACAACGATCGGTGCATACTGTCAATCACGACTGATTGCTGCAACCGCACCACATAACCAATTATTATATTTTTCAGCGTTCATAGATATGCCGGAGATGTTGTATTACATGAGGAGCAACTATCAATACTGGAAGGATCTGGAGGAAAAAGGAACGATCAGCTTTAACGACATTTGCAAAATGATGACCACCACCTTACCAAAAATACCAGAGTCCAGTGGCAACCAATGAGAACAATTATTGTCGACGTTCTACAAACTGCTGAGTCCACTGTGTTTTACTGGACATAGCGGTCGACGGATAAAATATTTTTGAATCTATTTAAATTGAAAATGTTGAATCTATTCCGGTAAATATCTGTTACGAAATTTTTCCGACGATTCCATCTTTCCATCGATGTCACATTGTGGAAATATTGTTTTTTAAGAATATTTAATTTTCATATCGACTGAACATTTGAGTAAAAATAATAAACAGATGCAATGTTTATCTTTATGTATATAATATGATTCTATTTTACTAGTGTATAATATTGTACATACCATTAACTTCAAATCGAGCAGGTTTTTTTATTATTATTATTACGATTATTGTTTTATCATCTTTGATAAATAATGTAAGTCTTATACGCTATTTTTTGCGTTTTATTATAGAATATCTTCGGTTTACGTGAAATCAAATTTATATACTATTCGGTGTTAATAAATTATTATTATACATTAAAATTTATTTTAGCCTATAGAATTCTCGCCAATACTTAAGGTACCTAAAATATTATCACGATAATTTATTTTTGTTACCATTAAGATTAACTAAAGACTATTAATATTATACTATAATATATTACTTATTATGATGTATTTAAAAATACATACGAAAAATACTATTCTATTTGCAAACATTTTGGGCGCTTCTTAATGGTACTATGTAGTATGTGTTTATTGACAAAAATTTTTAGATTTTGTTAGTACATAATTGATGTTTACAAATGAGATTTAGTCATTCGTGTACATTATGTTGCGTATCCAAACACCTTAAATTCCCAACATTTACATCATTTATGACGTTACAATTACAATATACTAAACACATTAGAAATAATCTTATGAAACATTATTATTTTGAATTCTTTCCAATCTTATTGACTTCAATTTCATAATTTATTAAAATGCTTTTACTGTTTTATTAATTACATGAGCCCCATTCTCATTCATAATTCTAAAACACGAACTAGTTAATTAACCTTTTCTATTTTAAATTTTTACATTTCAGTAACATACCTACTAGTTCGTTAAACATTTTTAATTAGTAAAAGTAGTACTATGTTTAATATGTAATAATATATTTATCTACTATAATATTATAAATTCCATATGACATATTTGAATGTATTATTTTATAGCTTTCTACATAGTTATAAAGGTGAACCCAAAATGTAAGTATTAAAATAAAAATACAAATACGAGTATATGCTATTACTAAACCATCTCAATATTGGTGTAATAATTGTTCAGTAAACACATGATCAAAGTCATTACCAGTTACCACTTACCTATAATCTATTTAATGCACTAGAAATATAATATTATAACATGGTATTTAAGGACTGGATATACACTAAAATTATCAAATTGTATTTTATCTAAATAAACTACTTACTTAATTTTGAAGATTTCACGATTATGTTATGTAGGTAGGTACACATTGTACGCATATAATAATACATAATAAGTTATAAAACTTTTTTTTGTTCATCAAAATATAATATAATTTTACATAATTTTATTGTAAGCTTTGAAATATTGTGTTTTAATAACTTTAGTATGAAAATAACTATATACACTATAAACCATCATTCTTCATTGTATACTTCATGATTAAAGTTTAAAAAACTTACCAATACTATGAATTATTGCGTATTAATTTTGTTTATTCACAGTTTATAATTAATTATGCATTTTCGTTAAAATTAATATATATATATATATATATAT